AGGAAGATGGCTTTTCAGTTTAACTAAAGCATCTGAACAACGTCAGTATCCCAGGATTAGGTACAAAGCTACCTGTACCCCCTTCCGAAACCAGGCAAAGGTCATTCCGGACTCAGAAGTTTCAGGATTATCACCCTTTAAAATGCTTTTGGCAAAGTGCTAGAGAAGATTTTTGCTGTTAAACTACAAATGTTTTTGAAAAAGGAAGAGCTGCTGCCAAAAGGTTTGGGTAGTTACTGGCCACGGAAAGATACATGGTCTAATGAAGCTACTTTTGCTTTTGATGTTCATGAAGGGTTTCAGAACAGACAGGATACAGTTGTGGCAGCACTTTATCTTGAGGATGACTAATAGTCAGATATGATATTTTGATATCTGCACTCACGGAGAAAGGGGTTTGTCCCTGGCTTGTGAACTGGGTAGCAGCTGTCCTGCATTCATGTATGGTTGCCGTTCGCCTGGGTACATAGACCTCAGAACCATGTAATATAGCCCTAGGATTCTGCAATTTTACCAGTGCTCTTCAATGTGTATACAAGCAAGATTGCTGACCTTGAAGCACCAAGTGTTGGAAGGATATTGATATTTGCTGATAATGTTCTTGCATATAAGCAATGCAATCATAGACAATGGAGAGCACAAGAGCTGCAGGCATTAAGCCCTAGGGAGAGCTAAGGGCCACAGACTGAAAAGAGAAAGGTATTAAATGATGCAAGCGGAAGACACAATCAGACATGTGTGCAGGCTTGATATTTTGAGCGAGGAGAGGAGTGTGTCAAGATGTCCAAACAAGTTTAAGACGTGTAAGGTTCTAATCACTAAGAGACGTGAGTGCAGAGACTGGCCAGCTGGTGCTGCAGAATCAAAAGTTACACAAATGATTCATGACAATTCCCACCCAAGTGATGTGATTATCTATACAGATGGCTCTGTGCTGAGGGGCAGACAAAGTACAAGGGGTTTCATAGCAAAGGCGAATGGATGTAGCCTAGTGCAGCAAAGATTCACATTTATCAAAACTTCTAGTTTGAGAATGGAGGTGAAGGCAGTCTCTGCTGCCTTGAGAATCAGCTGTACACACATGCCTTGATGGTAACTGAATATTTTCTTCATGTCAAGCATCATGAGATATTTATTATCTTTTGTGATCGCAAAATCAATAGCATCAATTTACTTTTCTTTAGAGTGATTAAATAAAATCATGTCTGTTAACTCATAATTTAACTCTTACACATAGTTCCAAGTGGCTATGTTGGTAATTAGTGTAATTTTAAAGGTTAAACAATCGGAAAGGGGGGGGGGGGGGGGGGGGTGTCTGGACATACATACAACTTACTGGCTCGACACTTGAATATACATACAGCTAACTCTCTACACTCTAATATACATACAACTGTCTTGACATTCGAATTTACATACAGCTGTCTCGACACTGGTACATACATACAGCTAACTGTCTCGACACTCATATAAAAGGCTAACTGTCTCGACACTCATATAAAAGGCTAACTGTCTCGACACTCATATATAAGGCTAACTGTCTCGACACTCATATATAAGGCTAACTGTCTCGACACTCATATATAAGGCTAACTGTCTCGACACTCAAATAAAAGGCTAACTGTCTCGACACTCATATATAAGGCTAACTGTCTCGACACTCATATATAAGGCTAACTGTCTCGACACTCATATATAAGGCTAACTGTCTCGACACTCAAATATAAGGCTAACTGTCTCGACACTCATATATAAGGCTAACTGTCTTGACACTCATATATAAGGCTAACTGTCTTGACACTCATATAAAAGGCTAACTGTCTCGACACTCATATATAAGGTTAACTGTCTCGACACTCATATATAAGGCTAACTGTCTTGACACTCATATATAAGGCTAACTGTCTTGACACTCATATAAAAGGCTAACTGTCTCGACACTCATATATAAGGCTAACTGTCTCGAAACTCATATATAAGGCTAACTGTCTCGACACTCATATATAAGGCTAACTGTCTCGACACATATATAAGGCTAACTGTCTCGACACTCATATATAAGGCTAACTGTCTTGACACTCATATATAAGGCTAACTGTCTTGACACTCATATATAAGGCTAACTGTCTTGACACTCATATATAAGGCTAACTGTCTTGACACTCATATATAAGGCTAACTGTCTTGACACTCGAATATACATACAGCCAACTGGCTGGATATTGAAACACACAGCCAACTGGTTGGATATTGAAACACACAGCCAACTGGTTGGATACTGAAACACACAGCCAACTGGTTGGATATTGAAACACACAGCCAACTGGTTGGATATTGAAACACACAGCCAACTGGTTGGATACTGAAACACACAGCCAACTGGTTGGATATTGAAACACACAGCCAACTGGTTGGATATTGAAACACACAGCCAGCTGGTTGGATATTGAAACACACAGCCAGCTGGTTGGATATTGAAACACACAGCCAACTGGTTGGATATTGAAACACAAAGCCAGCTGGTTGGACATAGAAACTACTGATTGTCTAGATACTGGAAGCTATATACATTTGATTGTAAAACATGCATATTATAGTCTGACACTGGAATGTACAGATGATAGTCTGACACTGGAATGTACAGCTGATAGTCTGACACTGGAATGTACAGCTGATAGTCTGACACTGGAATGTACAGATGATAGTCTGACACTGGAATGTACAGCTGATAGTCTGACACTGGAATGTACAGCTGATTGACAGTGGAATGTACAGCTGATAGCCTGACACTGGAATGTACAGATGATTGACAGTGGAATGTACAGATGATAGTCTGACACTGGAATGTACAGATGATTGACAGTGGAATGTACAGATGATAGTCTGACACTGGAATGTACAGATGATAGTCTGACACTGGAATGTACAGCTGATAGTCTGACACTGGAATGTACAGCTGATTGACAGTGGAATGTACAGCTGATAGCCTGACACTGGAATGTACAGATGATTGACAGTGGAATGTACAGCTGATAGTCTGACACTGGAATGTACAGCTGATTGACAGTGGAATGTACAGATGATAGTCTGACACTGGAATGTACAGCTGATAGCCTGACACTGGAATGTACAGATGATTGACACTGGAATGTACAGCTGATAGTCTGACACTGGAATGTACAGCTGATTGACAGTGGAATGTACAGCTGATAGCCTGACACTGGAATGTACAGATGATTGACACTGGAATGTACAGCTGATAGTCTGACACTGGAATGTACAGCTGATAGTCTGACACTGGAATGTACAGCTGATTGACAGTGGAATGTACAGCTGATAGCCTGACACTGGAATGTACAGATGATTGACACTGGAATGTACAGCTGATAGTCTGACACTGGAATGTACAGCTGATTGACAGTGGAATGTACAGCTGATAGCCTGACACTGGAATGTACAGATGATTGACAGTGGAATGTACAGCTGATAGCCTGACACTGGAATGTACAGCTGATTGACAGTGGAATGTACAGCTCATAGTCTGACACTGGAATGTACAGCTGATTGACAGTGGAATGTACAGATGATAGTCTGACACTGGAATGTACAGCTGATAGCCTGACACTGGAATGTACAGCTGATAGTCTGACACTGGAATGTACGGATGATAGCCTGACACTGGAATGTACAGATGATAGTCTGACACTGGAATGTAGATGATAGTCTGACACTGGAATGTACAGCTGATAGTCTGGACACTGGGACATAAGTTTACTACCTGAATATTGATCAATTCAAACAACTGATTGTCAAGATTTGGAACATATAAACAGCTGTGTGAACACTGGAACACAGCTGATTGTTCTGGACATTAAGAACACACAACTGACTGACTGGACATTAGAATGTACAGCTGACTGTCTGGGCATTGGCACATACACAAAGTTTACTACCCGAAGAATGATCAATGCAAACGGCGGATTGTCCAGAAATTTCAAGAAACTTAATCAATATTGTGCTCGTTAAGTTCAGGTAACTACACAGATAAAGTCAGCAATTTTTGAAAAAGAAAGTGTGTTTAACCTTTAAAAAGAAAACAACTCAGTGGGGTGTTGGAACAACTGTTTATTGTTGTTATCTGGTTAAGCTGGTTGTCGCTGGTTTCTCTGGCCAGACTGACTTTTTCTTCTTCTGCGCTCATCTGCATATGTAATTGCCTTTATGTCCATTTACTGCATGGCCGTGATATTTGTGCTTTTTGGCCAACGTATCCAACCTCTGTAGCATTTGTTGACCAGGTTAGCCTACCCAGTTGGAATCAGACCAACAAACAAGGATATTTCCATAATGAGAACAATTTGGCATTAATATTCTCTTGTGTAGAAGAATCAGGAAGCCACTCATAACCTATAGCACTGACATGTCACTGAAGTAGCAAATGGTGAGAACACTATGGACAGATTAAAGTGTCCTGCAGATGTCTTGACAACAATGAATTCACAGAGAACTGACTAACCAGATCAGAAGGAGACAACAATTTTTAGTCAGATCATGAACAGGTGAAAACTGCAGGTGAAAATGAGGACACAGGAGAAAAAGAGAGGCAGATGGAGACCACACAAAATTATGCTGGTCAGGATGCCAGGTAGGAATACGTGTGTCGGAAATGTCCCAAAGTGCACAGGACAGAAGGCTGTAAAAATGTATGACTACCAATGTCACACAGATGGCGTCGACTACAAGAAGAAATGTCTACACAACATTTCACCGTTTAGGAATGACAGGAGGAATTAGCTGTTGCTGGCATCTCCAGATAGAGATACCACCCAACTTCCAGCAAAGCCTATAGCAGATCATCCCATGTCACAAACAATATAAACAATCTTCTTATGTTTGGTTTCATGCAAACAATCAAACAAACAATAGAACAAACAATGGTCATGTTTGTGTCAGATAAAATATTTCTTGGTCAGTCAGCAACTCTTGATGATGTATATACATCATTTGACAAGTCCGAGTTTCTTGGCTTCTGTTTCATACACTAGAAGCCTCCACATTTTCACCACAAAAACTTCAGCTTCTTCATCCAGAATCTGAAACAAACATTACACAAAATTACTGGGTATATGTCCAACCTAACTTGTCTAATCTAGTAATTTCCCCTGGTCTCTGGGTAGTAAGACAGGATGCCTGTGTGTATTGTTTCGCACATTAAAAAAAATGTGTTGGCAGTTGGAAATGGAAAAAAAGGGTATCCTAATGGCGCTGCCCAAGCAACATTTTTAATTAAAAAATCTACCTAAAGTATTTCAAGATCCTTGCCGGTGCAACGATGTTCGTGCACTGTGCTGAGATTCTTCAGACTCATGTTTGATGTAGCAGAGTCATTACCCATACCGCCCTTTAGTGTTGTGCTGTTTGCACGACAAGACCCCTCATGGCCTTCACCCTTGTTTTTGGAACTTTTCCACTGAGCTTAGTAAGCGAATATAACTACCTACGTCCATGTCCTTGTTTCCCACTGTAATTCCAGTCGTCTGTCTAGACATCACGTGACTCTCCCCGTCCAGCACAAAACAATAAGTTGTTTTTCACATTCTTGAAATACTTCCACTGACCCGGCTAGCTAAAGTCTCTGCAGACTCTGCAAAACATGTGGCTGGGAGGTCCCGGGAGCAGGCTAGTAGCCCCCTTATAAGCGACTGCCCGGAACCCATAGGCAGAGAGGAGAGATGCGCCGGCCAGCAGAACAGAAAGGGAAGTCAGGCTTGGGGGCAGATTAATTAGAAACTATAGTTAAGAAGATAAATAGAGACATTTTCTTTGCTTACCTAAAACTAATGTACTTCCTGAAGATCTATGCGAGGAGGCGTGGACCTGTATTTGACTTGACCATTGTAATAACATACGAAAACGGAAGAGAGTGCGTGCACAGGTTGCGAGGAGTGCACTTTGCCATTTCTTTCGGCCTGCCATGGACTCAGTTAAATTCGGGAGTAGATACTGAGCCGGGGTCAGGCGCTGAGACGGAGTCAGAAGAAGAAGAAGCAGGAGCACAATTTAAAAAAAAAAAAACTACACATAGGCCGGACTTCCTGGAGATCCCCTGTTGTAATTTAGAAGAAGAAAGATGAAAACTCTTTAGACCAACCTGCACTAGGAGCCCGGTGGCAGTTAGATACTAGAGCTAGTTAACCAAGTAACAAGAGTAAGAACTCAAGATTATATTCCTATTGAGAGAAAACAGCACATTTTTTTTTTAATGTCAGTGATATTGTTTGAAACAGTGTTGAAGTGTCACAATAAAGACAGTGTAAACAAGAACAGTTATTTTCAGACACATTATTATACAATCATCTGAGTAACGTGAGAAGTATGCAGTAAGCGAGACACTCTCGTCATCATCACCACTATCGACACGACCATCCCTATTCTTATCTTCACTTTTATCATCATCGGCTGCCCTTGTGGCAAATATAAAAGAACCTGGGTTGCATTACAATATAGGCAGTAAAGGAGGCAGCTGTGCCACATTTTGTCCATGTGTGCCAAAACATCTGACTGTGATACAGGTTGTGCTTGCAGCCCAGTCATCCTCATCATCACTCAGGGCTCAAATGGTCTGTTGGTTTAGTGGTTGGCAGACATAACCCTAGAATATCACTGCTTGAAAGAGTGGCATGGTAAAAACAGCATCAATGTTCACATACTCCTCTGGTTCAATGTTCAGCTCTTGATACAACCTAGCAAGTTATGGCTCCACTAAAGTATCAGTAACATTACTCTTATTGCTCGTTGATGGTGAGGAATTCTCATTTATTGGCACATCTAATGCAGGTAAGAAGCCAGCTTGTCTAACATAACGAGTTTGCAATAGTTGCAGGCAAAAATCTGTCCCATGAAGATTTTAACATTAAACTAGTATCAAGAAGGGTTACTCTGAAATCTTTTGAGCTGAAGTCAGCATCCATATGACCTACAAGTTTTGACCACATTGTAGATCTATAATGGACTTTAAAGTTTTGAATGGTACCTTGATCACAAGGCTGAAGTGTTGATGTGGCATTGGGCGGCAGAAACAGAAGTTCTGTGGCTTTCAAACTCTCAGTTCTTCTGTGGGCTGAACAATTGTCAACGATTAAAAGTTCTTTTTTTTTTAACGCATCAATGAAGAGTCAAGTTCTTGTAGCCACTCAGTGAACTGTTTTGATGTCTTCCATGCCTTTGAATGGCTCTGTAATTAACACACAATTTTGTCATATCTTTGCGGCTTCCATAGCTAAGGTGTTGCGAGTCTGACTCGAAATTCCAACATACAGCGATTGAAACCCACTGCTGGCTGCATGGATTTTTATCATGGTATGGGGCGTCGCATGTCGACACAGCCTATAATGGGTACCAGGATGGCTGTCTGGGGAAGTAAAGACGGCCGGCGTAATGCTGACCACATTACCCACCCAGTGCCGATTGGTCTGTAAAAATATGGTATGCATTTCCCATATGCCTGATGCGCCTAAGGCGTGAAAAGGGATCTTTACCTTACCTTTTTTGTCATTCCTTTGAAACGAGGATTTTTAAATTTCCCAATCAGGAATAAAGGCCATTTTTCATTACCATCCATTTTACAACACACAACCACAGTTATTCTTTCTTTGGATTTTTTCCCACCGTGACACTTCATTTTTGAAGGAAAATGTTTTTTCATGTAACAGTCTCCAAAATAAGCCAGTTTCAGTTTCATCGGCATTAATTAATGTCTGAATTTGCATTGTGGTTTTAATGTTATACCTTCTAAAATAATTAAATATTTAAACATTTCTGATATTGTATTGCTATTTATTTGTTGAATTGTGGTATTTCCTAACTGGTATAATTGTTTTACTCAATACTACTGCTCTGTTTCAGTGTACATTCTCTATTGTGTGTGCTGTCTGGATAAGTAGACGCCCTGATAAAGTGGAAGCATTTTCTTAGGTCCCTGCGACTTCTACTTATCCAGACTCGACTGTTTATTTAATTTATTTTGCATCTCATTATGTGAACAGGGCAAGAGAGAAATGTCTTCAGCAGTGCTGACTTCCTTTCAAATGGTAGTTGTTATCTGTACAATCCAGTCTACAGTTAGACAGCTGATAAATGGCCAGGCGGACATGTCTCACCCGTGTTTTGTTTTTTTAATTTATAAAATTATTATTTAAAATGGTAGATATTGCTGATTGTACTCTTCCATTTCCACCCCCCACACCCCCAAATATGTATAACCTGGTGTCTATATCCAACAGTTAATCACAAGACAAACATGAAATCAACTCACAGTAGCCACATCATTCTGTATACTTTGTGGTGTGCTCCTGGCAACTACCTTCTGACAGATGAACTCAGTCAGTGTTGGCTCTTCTTCTCCAATGTACTCTATGATCTTTTTGGTCACCCATGGCTTGATTCGTTTGTCCATCAGATTCTGCATAGTAACATACAAAACATATGACTGACACTGGAATCACACAATTGCCTCTACATATATATAAAACAAATGAGTGACAATGAAATCATACAACTGACTCTACATACATATAAAACATATGACTGACACTGAAATCATTCAACTGCCTCTCCAGACATTTTTTTCTAAGTATCCAGAAACCATGAGAATCCTTTGGTTCGGTACTTTAGATATCGCAACCCTTCAGCTTTGATTCCATGATAGATACAGTGAAATTGGGAGAAAAGTGGCTTTTCTGCCTACCGTGAACCCGGACGGCAAGGAGTTCCGTCACCCAGGCGCCGCGAAGAGGGTTTTAACCAACTGCGCTAGCGAGCTGGGCCTCCAGACATATACAGCATATGACGGACACTGGAATCATACAACTGTCTCAACATACATATACAACATATGACTGACACTGGAATCATACAACTGCCTCTACATACATATACAACATATGCCATACATCATGGTCAATTCAGACCTTGTCTGTGTAAATGATGGAAGGCCAACCATAGTGGCAATGAGGCCTGGCAATGCACACACAGCTATTGACCTGGAAGTGACCATCTGTCATGTTCGGAATTGATCTCTAAATCCAGGAAATTCAAGACTTCAAGAGCTTATAGGCCTTTCAAGTATGAGCAAACTAACACCCTTCTTGGACTCCTCTGACAGAGGGTTTGTAAGAAAGAGGACCGGCAGATCTACTTTAGTGCAGATTCCATGGTGGACATCAGAGGTTGAACAGGCATAGAAGTTAAAGAGAGCTGCAGTAAAGTGTTTAAAGAAAGTACGACAGACAGCCCTAAGCTCAGAGGATAAGTTGAAGTGGGCAGAAAAATAATAAGAAAGAAAGAGTTTTTCAGGCACTGTGCGGCAGAGAACCCAAATTAAAAAAGCATTTTATTGATGAGATTATGGGCAAAAAGACAATGGCAAGGTTTGGAAGCTACGCAGGCAGATGCTCAAGAGAGATCGGCCCAGCGTAGTAGGAACAATTCATAGAGATGAAGGCATGCTATTAACAGGGTTGACAGCCAAATTTACCAATCAATTTGCCCGGCTCTCTAGCGGAATTGGCTAAACCGGATTTCGGAGACCGGGTGACGTACTCCTTGTGGTCCGGGTTCAATCCCGGGGGTAGGCAGGAACGCCACATTTTCTCCCAGATTTACGGTATTTACAATGGAATCAAGGCCGAAAGGTTGAGATATCCATAATACCATAATAACAACTCATGGCTTCTGGATACTAAAACAAACAAACAAAGCAATCAATTTCAAGGCTTTTCAAGATATCCTTTTTCCCCGTGTGGTTTCTGGGGCCCCATCGTGGGGAAAACAAGAATAGACCCTCTGCCAACCCAAAAGCATGTCGTAAGAGTCGACTAATTGGGGAGCTTCCTTTAAAGTCGGAGTGCATCTGCCTGAGAGGCAAGGAACCAACAGTCTGCATTCAAGAGAATCAGATCTGTAAAACTGATGCACACGCAACACTCAGGTTCTGGAGCAGGACTGCAGTTCAGAAATGGACGAACAACCAGAACTTTCCACCGGAGTGTACAGCTGGTGAACGCAAAGAAGAAGAAGGTATCTTTAGTTTTTTCAAGGTTGTCTCAGAGTAATACTGGAACAAGGTATTTTTGCCTTTTTCTTTAAGGGTGTATCGAGTACAAAAGGTACTTCACAGATATAGCATTTTTACATTTTTTTAAGACTTGGGGGAAGAGGGGAGCAAACTGAAGCCCTGTCTGTTCTGGACCTGGTACCTGAAAGGGGGAGGGGAGGGAGGGAGAGAGAGGGGGAGAGAGAGAAAGAGAGATACAGAAAGGAAGGAAGACAGATGCTGAGGAAGCCTGGCAGAGAGTGTGAAGATGGACAGATGAAGATAGAGGAAAAAAGGGAAAAAGAGACGGGAAAGGAGGAAAAAAAATGACAAAGAGGGAGGAAGACATGATGAGGGAGTGGGGAGAAAGCATGCCCCAGTGAAAGCAGAAAAAGCTCCAGAATCTTCCTTCACAACTCTTCCTCCAAACTGAGCCGTGAAAGCTCATGAGCTTCTAACGTGGTGGATTACAGAACCATCTGTGTAAATGACAGCATCACCCTCTAGAGCGTTTTCGAAGATTAAGGCTTCAACTTCTGCTTCTACAGCAGCCGGACACGCTGTCTGCATTTTCTGTCTAGTTGGATGCAAACAGAAAAGGGTGTACAGCATTCTGAAGGCACTTGCACCCACTCCTTGCCGGATTTTATGTCCTCAGGTGAACACACCTGTAGAAAAATGTCCTCGGCTTGACATATCAACGATTTGCCTCTTTTTAACCTGCTGCCTTTTATCTTCCTGATTTGACTATGTAATGGATGTTGTGTGTCTGCCTTGACTGTGAGGTAGGCACGAGCTCGGGAAATTTGTATTCTGTCTTTCATGGTTGGAAAATTGAGAAGGTAGCGCCAGGATCGCCATCGCGTATTCAAACTGGTGTTGGAGTTTTCACAATATGGCCATTTAAAGAGAACCATGTCACTGCCGCTTTCGTTGAGTTTGCCAGTGCACCAGTTTCACCACGCCAAGTGCTTATGCGACTGAGCTCTTTTTGTAGTTCTTCAGCGACCTTTTCTCTATACTTATCCTGACGATACACTAACACATCGTCAGCATATGACAGTGTTCTTCTGGGTCCTTTGATTTGCTTGCCTGTGATTCTCACTGTGTAAACGTTGAAAAACACAGGAGATAATGGTGATCTTTGTGGCAGGCCGGGATGTATAGTTGTTGGTTCAGAAGTCCAAATGCCACATCTGGAAGAGATCCAATGAAGCAGGAATGGGCTTATCTGGAGTTCAAGAAGCTAAGACATTAAGGAATCCAACGGTACCCTGTTGTACGCATCCTCAAGATCAATTACAATTGTTTCAATACCTGAGTGGAACCCTTCATACACAGCATGAGCAAAAACCGCAGCATTGGTCCATGTTTATTTCTTTGGACGGTACCCTCCAAGGGTATTTGGAAGATGACCTCGCCTCTCAAGCTGGTGTGAAATATTTCTGGCAATTATCTTTTCTAACAGCTTGCTTATAGTATTTTACATAGTGATTATCCGATATCCCTGAATTTGTTTGTGAACTTTGCCAGGTTTTGACAGGGGTATCAGATAGCTGTGTAACCACTCTTCATTGATACTAGCACTCACAATACTATTATTGTACATGTCTGCTAGCTCTTTTAGCTATCTTCAGTACACCCACTAATGTCATCATATCTTACACCATCTGGACCTGGTGCACCATTATTTGTTCGTCGTAGCACAACCTTGATCTCATCCACGGTCACTATATCACCGTCTGCAAAATTCTGTGACTTACACCTATCATAGGTAATAGCTTTGGCAAAACTGCGTCCTGTCATATCGATCTGGTTGCTCTGCTGCTGAAAGTGTTCTAATAGCTTCTTGCCCTTATTTTCATCGGACCTCTGCCAGGTGAGGTCGGATCACTGGAAATCAGAAATCCTCTTATTTGTGTGGGCACCGATCATACTTCATGTAGTCGCCAGAACAGCTTCAGGGATTTATCTCTGCTTATTCTGTGACACACTTCTGCCCACTTCTTACGTTTAACCTCAGTAACCAGTTTTTTAAAGGAGCCGACTTTTATGTCCATGTCTCTTTGCAGGCTCAAGATTTGACCAGACTGGGCGACTTTGTTGTGTTTAGCATTTTGCCATCTTCTCAAAGCACCACGCTTATTTGCCTGGGCTTTTTCCACCTCACAGTTCCCTGTTTCTAGAAACACCCACACAAGGCCGGCAGCTGCTCCCTCCCCCTCTAATGACATGTGCTGCTATCTGCTGTATCCATGGGCTGCAACACAGCCCGCCCTTTCTTAGCCCTTAATAAGCCATTTCAGCTAAAAATGGCCGATAATCAACTGCCCTCATACCAGAAACAAAGGTAAACATTTTAAATGAAGTTGGCCGCAAATAGCTGAAAATTGCAGGTCTTCCCATGTTAGTTCGTTATACTTCAATTCTACCATTGCCATGGTCAAAATTCCAGGTTTATCAAGGTCTGTATGACTTTTCCAAGATCAAATTCCTGGTTCCAGGTCCGGGCAGCAATTTCCAGGTTAAATTCAAGTTTCCAGGTTCCCTTAGGAACCCTCTATCAACTACAAAGAGAAGGGGAAGGCTTTCCTGAAGAGGTTCATTTCACAAACATACCACAATGATGGAGATAACAGAGATACAGTTAGAGAAGATCTTGCAGCCATCTTAAAGCACAAACATTATGAAGACATACAGGTGGAAGGTGTAAAATTTGTTCTGAAAAGGGCGAAAGACACTGTACCTGGGCCTGACAGGGTTAGATATTCTCACATGAAAGACATGAGTGATGCAAACCTGGTGGAGATAACTGCTTGTTTCAACCAGAGCCTAAGGACAGCTTCAGTTCCAGAAAAATGGATGCACAGCTACATGATTCCACTTCCTAAGCCTGGCAAGAATCATTCAACACAGCTGCTTCAGGATCGTAACCCTACAAAATACTTTTGATAAAGTGTTGGAGAAGATAGTGGCGGGTAAGCTACACAATTTTTGGGAACAGAAAAATCTCCATCCACAAGGTTTTGAGAAGTTTCTGGCCAGGAAAAGACACTAGGTCAAATGCAGCCACTTTTGCCACCTCCAAAGGTTTCCAGAACAGGAGACAGTGGCAGCAGCACTTGATTTAGAAGCTTCTTACAACACAGTCAGATACAGTATATTGATGAAAGCGCTTATGGAGAAGGGAGTCTGTCCTTGGTTGGTGAACTAGATAGAAACCTGTTTTTTTTATACTCGCCAGGTAGCTCTCCACCTGGGTTCATTGACCTCTGAACCATGTATTATAGCTCCAGGACTACCATAGGGACCTGCAATTTTACCTGTACTATTCAATGTTTTCACAAGCAAGATTACATACCTGGAAACACCTAGAGTTGGCAGAATATTGATATTTGCAGATGTACTTGTATATAGTAATGGCAGAGATTGGAATCAAATAGTTGAAGAGTTACAGGTGAGAGAAGATAAGGTGATTGACTGGTGTACAGAAATAGGTCTGTTTTCAACCAAGATTGAGGTACCTAGGAATTTAATATGACAGAAGTTTGTCTTTCAAGGATCACATAAAGGGGTTGTAACAAATCCTCAAAAAGGTCTTAATGCACTGAAGATTATGGCAGCGATGGACATGGAGCAGACAATGCTGTTCACACTTTACCAGCACTTAATCATCTAAGTGGCTGATTAATGGATTAGGTTACTCACTGTCTTGAAGAGTCAGCTAGAGAAACATTCAGAATGAAACTATGCAGATTACCAAGGTATGTACAACAGATACCCCAATTCTGTGCATGCGATACATCCTTGCATTGTCGACTATTAGAAATAGGCTAAAGGTGCTGCAGACTAGGTCATACCTCAGAGTAGCTGCAGACAAAGAACACCCTCTTTTTGAGGCTATGGTTGCAGGTAAGGGTCAGAGGCTGAAAAGGGTAAAATCATGGATGGCTCAAGCAGAAGACAAATAAGACACATCTGCATGCTGGAGAACATTGGGCGAGGAGATGGTCAAAGTACCAGAGGAAAAGTCTGACCTGTGTAGGGTTATAATCACATTGGGCCGGGAGTGAAGAGAGTGGCCAGCAGGTGCTATGGAGGTGGAAGTCCAACAGCTGATTCACACAATTCACTCACAGGTGATCTGATTGTTTATACAGATGATTTGGTGTTGGGAGGAAAAAGAAATGCCTGGGGGTTCATAGCCAAAGCCAATGGAAAATCTTTAGTACAAGACAGCCTAGCATACGCCACCACAACATCCAGCATGAGAATGGAGGTAGAGGCGGTAACTGTAGTTCTCCAGTGGCTAGAGAAAAAGATGCATACACATGTAATAATTGTAACAGACTCTGAAAGCATGCTGAGAAAGGTGAAGGCAGGGATGCTTCGGGCAGAGTGGCTTCACTGGAAAGGTCACGGGTAGTAAGCATACTTTGAATCTTTTCTCGACCGTGCTGGCATAGTGGGTGATGAATAGGCAGATATATTTCCTGGATCTGCACCATTGGGTGGTGAATTGATACATGACATGGCAGTGGTCAAGGCCCTTTGGGAATAAGCAACAGAATTAGTAGAGACAAGATTATTTTGGCCTGGAGCGAACGAGGTACCTTGGTGTAACCAGAGGGTCTGGCCCGACACTACACTTGGAGGAAAGGCAAAATGGACATATAACCAGATCGCGACCAGTACCATCAGAATTAGAACTGTGATGGCTGCTGAGGATAAGGATGGAGCACACATGGAAATGCCCTGAGCGCTGTGACGTCAGTTCTTGACTCAACTTACCTGGAATAACATAACTGTTTATCCAGAAACAAAACATATGACTGACACTACACATGGATAAACATGTAGCATATTTTCATTGTGTCAAGGAACAGGAGATGGAT